CAAATGCAAATCATATTTACTACCATTACTAGCTTGTAGTGCATGTTTATTGTTTGCAAACTCACAAATGTCTAACGGAAAGTCGTGAAATTTCTTCACGCAGATAATTTTTCGCTAACAGAGACTGCACACGTTGCACCACTGATCGCAGCTGCGCTGGTCATAGCAGCACTGCTGGTGCTATTGCTGTGTCTCATAGTGCGATGTCGACGGAAGAGAGGTGAGCTAGTTGTGACGTCATTTGTTCCATTACATCGTTCAACAGGCACTTAACCATCACAAGAAATTTATCTGTTTATACATGCAACATAATTTAGAAGTCTAAATTAACTTGAATCAGCTGAAAGAAATACAATATAATTTACATTCTCTTTAACGTGATGTTGCTACGAAACTATCAAAAATAGAAGTAAAAGTAACAAACAATTATCCTTATAAACGTAATCCTTTACTCCTTAGGATTTTGTATATTCAGAGAGTAGTTCAAAATGATATTTTTTCTTTATAGGTAGCGTTGAATATAAGACTGATGAATTAAACAGGTAAGAAAAATTTTCTTTCAAAAAGTTCTCATCTCATTGTAAAATTACTATTCTTATGAGTGCATTTGCACAAAACTAGAAAAATTATTTTCAAACTTATGACAGAAAAAGCTGAAGTGTCAATACTTATTTTTATACTCGAATTTTGTGGTGTCCTCGAATTAATCAGCAGCATTTGCAATTGCTGCATCTATGCACTCCGTGGTGAGAATAATAAATAATCTGGTACCAACAGCGACGTGAAGGTCCTACCAGCGGACGCGGTGTACACGCCGCAATCGCATGCTAGCGGCCGCGGCTCTATCGCTGGAGTGGCCCCTGCCCCTGGTGCCGGCATGGCCCCTCCTCCTGGTGCCGGGGAACGCGAGGGGCCACGGTACTCGCCCGGTGCGCTGCAGGTTCGCCGCGCCGCGCTCGTGCTGCAACCACCAACCACCGTGTGACCGCACAGGTGTGGAAACTAACAAACACCAACTACGCATAGCATGAATACAACCTTCATATCGTTGAGATTTTGAAAATATCAAGGTCATGCAATGTAGACCAATAAGCATCATTAAACAAAATATTTTCCCCTCTCTCCGACTCCATCATATTTCGACTCCTAGCCTAAAACCCTCTGCATGTTTAACAAACAACAGTTAATTTATTTTCTGCAATAAAAAGATCGTTTGGATTGATTATTAGACACTCCTTAATCTAGTTAACCTTTTTGGCGCAGTGGGTGAGATTAATTAACAATAGTACAGTTGGTTTGAAATATACAAAAGCAAAATAAATATCCTTTAATAACCACGTTTGTTAGTAGACATGAGCTGTCCCACCAATTCACTGTTTGAAAGACATTCAATTATTTAGAGTGCATGATCGTTGTGGCTTTAAGAAATTAACATAATAATTATCAACATTCCGCACAAATATTTACTTTAATGCGATTATTTTAAAGCTTCTTTTTCTTTGTTAGGCAGCATTAGCGTCGTTGGAAAGAGAAGCCAAAGAGAATGTGTATGCGGTTTTAGATCCGCATATACAATACGATATAACTATTAATAAGCACGGAGAGCCGCCGAAATATTTATCACTATCAAAGCCTTTAACTCACCAAAGAACACATGCTTTCGATCCACGTTACTTTGCAAATGAAATTAATAACAACGAAATCAAACTGTCCACATTCAAGCCTGCCTATAGAAAATCCAATAGAAGCAGTAAAAGCAAGAATGTAAATTATAAGAAGAATTACGTTTGCAAGAGTAATAATGATATAGAGTATTCCAAAGACCCATGCTTTGGAATAGTAAGAGGCACTGAAGGCAACTCGGCAAATGCTTACACGCATAGTAGTAGAAATTATGTAAATAAAATAAGCAAAGACATGACATTTGAGAGAAACTCTTTTATATATAATTCTAGTTCTAATAATAAAATAAATGGGTCTGAAAAAGATTTATTGAAAAGTGATCCTAAAAACTTTCGATTATCAAATCGTAGTCGAAAGAGTGTAGAAAAAACTACACCTTTAGAGGAAGAAAAAAAGAAGGAAAGTTCAACAATTGAGCAGAAAGTATCTAATGTATGTAACCATGAAGACACGATAGAAGATTATAAACCAATGCCTGGTAAAGTAAGAGAAATCGCATCTAAATTCGATAGGAATACCAAAAGCTATGCTCAATCATTAAACTTTAAGAAGGAAAGACCAAGACCTATACAGAGTTATGGTTATCAAGCGTACCTGGATCACATTTTTCCAGATGCGGTAGAAATTTAGAATGTTTGCAAATATTATGATGAAAGTTGAGTAGATCTCTTTAGAATAAATGAAAATGAATGAATCAGTTTTCTATATCTATCTAAATATGCGACATTCTTGCTATTTAGACTCAGTAGTGTTTGCACAAATTTACATCTACTAATGTTATTTGAATTTTTACAAAATTTTGTAAAATACCTTTTTCTATGAACGCTTCTATTGAAAATTGACTTAAAGGTTCAAGGTTTTTTTACAGTTTTCAACTTTTTGCATTATTTTTTAAAGATTATTTTTATTAAATCGTACTTAATATTGCATTTAATTCTATGTTTGTATGTACTTCTGTTTTATTAAGTATTATGTAATTTGTTAATAATAATTTGATGTAAATAGTTTTCATTATGTTTATTGTTGACATTTTAACAGTATTAAAACATTTTAATTAATTATCCATTGTTTTATTTATTCCCTAAACACCCTGTATTATTTAGCCAATAAAAATATACATTTAATTACACTAATGAACATAAAGGGACATAACACGGCTATTAAATACATTGTTTGCTGCAATTTTGTATCAGTAACTTCCATACTGTTATACAGAGTATTTGTTTTATGTTAGAAATTGTTATAAACAAAAAGAAAAATAATAATTATTGTGTTTGTGTTTATAAAAAAGATATATTCATATTCAAAATTAATTTCAAATAAAACATCTGATATGTATATTATAATAATTCGATTTTATTTAATATTAATTTTATGTCAGTGGATTAATGGTGAAAATATAACATATGAAAAAATAAAACAAAGGGAAACTGGACTGTGTCAGAGCCAATGTATATCAAAGTGTTGTCCTATAGGTTTTATTTATTCTATGAAAAAAACAAATCGTAGATTATGTATCCCATTGAGAAATAATTCGGATTTAATTATGGGAAATATGCAACCGTTACATTTCTTTGAGAAGATCATCGCTTGGAGACATTTTGTGAATAAATTCAAGATTCTAGAAGGGGCTACGTGCAGAATGAAATACCAATTGAATAATCGACATTTCTTACAAGAGGTAAGTCGAAATAACCTTGATACAGTGGCAGTTCTTTAACAATTCATAATTTATCTAACTTTATGTCTCCACTATCGAAACAAAAGAATGATAACAAGAAAACAAAATTTATTTTAGATGGATCTGGAATTCCAAAACCATACGTTCTCGATCAACGTGACTTGAATGTAATTTACAAGACTTAAGACCCTTCATACAAAAAACTATGTAAATCTTTAAAACCCGGCGATTTTAGTCGCCATTTAAACGATACAATGTCATAGCGATTCGTACACAGGCGCGACGCTGATATTTTATTCTTTCGACGTCAAATGTAACAGCACTCTTCTTTTTTTGTAACTTATGATATAAAAAAATAAGGTGTCCCAAAATATTTTATGTTAGAAAATAGTATTTTGCTAAAAAGAAAGATTCCTTCAGATTCTTTAATTCTTCGGTAACCTATTGTCTTAAATCTTAAATATTCCAGTGATCAAGAAACAAAATGAATATCTATTATCTGAAGGCTGTTACTAACGTATTTGACAAATGTTATTTTAGGCACAAAATGGCATAAAGTCAAGTAATAATTCCCAAAATTGATTAGATGATATACCCAATTAACGATATGTGTCTATTGAGACCTTTGGTACACGATCGTTTTAGCCGAATTCGAGAATCGGTCCCAAGTTACAACTAAGTATTTCGGCGAACTACAACATCGTAATCGTAAATCAATATATTAATTAAATTCCAAAAACAATTATCAGTTAACTCGGATATGTTCCGAAAAAATACATTATTAGGTAATTCAATTAGGACGATAAATCCCAAAAGGCTTGTAGTCAAGGTGGACTGTAGTAACCCAATTAATTTAACAAAGCAACTATACATCATGATTCTACATTTGGAAATTATCTACAGCATGATCAAATTTAATATTTTTTAAATTGTATTTAACTCTTAGAAAGACATTTAATAATAGTAAATACAGTTTTTTAATAGTATATAATATATTGTCTTAGGGGTCAAGCACTTGACTTGCAATCTGCAGGTCCTAGGTTCGAATCTCGCCATGTACCAATGTGTTTTTTGATTTCTGATTTACATATACATTCATCCAACGTTCTTACGGTAAAGGAAAACATCGTGATGCAACCTGCAACTATCTGAGAAGAAATTCAAAAATATGTATGAAGTCAACCAACCCGCACTTGACCAGCATGGTTGACTATGGTCTAGTCACCTCTAACTTAGGGTATGCTCCGAGCCCCTCGGTGGGGAAGTACAGTGAGCTAACGATGAATATATTAACTATCACGTCGTATTATTATTTTTATGTGACGCGGATTCCTACTCTTAAATCGACGTCCTACCAAAGATACGATTACTATTTATTAACAAACATGGTATAAAAATGAATCAGTGTCGATAAACCTTGCCATTATCATCGTCGATTACATAAATGTTTTACTGCAATGTACTTATTATGACACAACCGGACTGTACAATGTGATCATAGTTCCTGGAAATATAATTAATGCATTTTAACTTAGCTTTTAATATTCAATATCTTTACATATAAATAAAATTTGAGTGTTTGTTTATAATATTGAAATTACTTTTTTACTGCATATATATGAATATATACGGTATATACACCAATATAACATTATTTATAATTTATGTCTGTTTGTTTGTTCCGGCTAATCTCTGAAATGGCAGGACCGATTTTGGCAGGACTTTTATTGGCAGATAGCTTATGTAATAAGGAGTAATTTAGGCTAAGTTTATTATAGAAAAAATCTTTATTTTAGAAAAATAAGACAAATAATGACAGTATATCACGCAGACTAAGTCGCGGACAATTAATCATTATTACTTTCTTAGACTTTTTGTTATTACAAGACCGACTGTAGAATTCTTATGACCTGTAATTTATGTCTTACCAATGTATTGTATTGTGTTATTAAATATATTTTCAACTAGCTCTCGCCCGCGACTCCGTCTGCGAGTAATTAAAAAACATAACAATAGGCCTAGGTGTTCTTCCAGACTATGTTCTACATCTATACCAAGTTTAAGCGAGATACATTTAGCCGTTTATATGAGATAAAAGAAAAGGGCTGTTTAAGTGTTTGCCTGGCAATTATTAAAATTTTTCGCCACCTTTTAAACCTTACTTAGACCTCCACGAACATTTCAAGGCTAAGATAAGATAAATCCGTTCAGCCGTTCTCAAGTTTTAGCGAGACGAAGTTTTATATATATGTATAGATAACAATTGACACACTGTTTGCTTTGAAATGTCACACATGCTTAATATCAATAAAAAAAACCTGAAACCAACAAACATATTATTTAATTTCATCTCTTTTATCTTATAACTCTATGCAGATGAAGTTCAAAATAATATTCATTAAGTTACAAATAACTTTATAAGGTTTACAAACTTTACAAATGAACTTTATCCAAGACTCGTAAAGTTTATATCTGCAAGAAAACCTATTGAACAACTAAGATTATTCTATTTTATTAATTAAATTAGGTGACTTATATGTTTCTAACCGTGGGCTTCTGAGACCACCAATTTAAAAATATTGTTATCTCTGTTTTATCAAAGATAATGACAGTGATGACGCTATGTTACTGACAGATTTTTTAACTCAGAATCAAACTTTGATCAATGTATTAAAATGATTATTAAGTATATATTTATTACACAAAATTATAACTTTGAATTGAAAAGGAATTGATAACATAAGTAACACAGTTGCGGAGAAAGGACAGGTTTTTGTTACAAAAGTTATTGATAAAGTTAAAAGAAATAGCCTGATAATTACATAACCTTGTGATAAAAACAACCACATGTTTACAACCGAAGAGAATAAAAATAGGTCTTATAAAATCTCTTAAACGTATCAATAATATTTCGAAGGAGTTTGGTATACCGCAGTAATCCAATTATCACCCGGACAAATTTAAGTGATCACATAAAGCCCATATAAATGAGAGCCAGA